GTTGATCAGCAGCCTAGCCAGCATCTCTAGCCAGGATCTCCAGCCAAGTTCTGGTCTGGGTCTCCAGAGAGGTTCTGCTTAGGATCTCCTGCCAGGGTCTGTGTCCATGTTCTCTTCCTAGGTTCTCCAGCCAGGTTCAGTCCAGGTTCTCCAGCCAGGTTCAGTCACCAGGTTCTAGTCAGGTTCTCTTGCCCATTTCTGTAGTCAGGTTCAGTCCAGGATCTTTTGCCATGTTCTCTCCAGCGAAGTTCTTCTGTCTCTAGTTCTGTGTGTTCTGTCTTCTTACATCTGTATTTATACCAGTTGATTCCAATCCTATCAATCTCTATTTCAAAGGTTAGGGCGTTTCTTATCTCCATTCCAGGGAGTAAAGATTATGTAGCTTAAGCATGATTGTTCGTAGTTAAAGTGATTAATTACCCACCTGGCACTTAGTTAAGAGGTTTTATTCCCTCCCTAACTTCAGGGGAAAATCCCTACCTGGGGAAACAACCTTTCTCAGAGACCTTGGTTAAAACACATAGTGCCAAGAAGGTGAGCAAACATATTAAGAACAGTATGCCATATATGCCAGGTACCTTGAAATAGCAAGCATGGACCGGCTCCCGGCACACACTCCTTCTGATAACAGCCCCCCCACCCCCAGGTTTCCTCTGGGGGACCCCCCCCCCCCGCCTCTCTGTCCAAGGGTTTGGGTGGGGCCAATAGCATGTGACTCAGGCCAGGCCAATGAGAGCAGCCCTGTCTCCTCAGGGTCTAAATCACTGGTTGAAGGATGGTCACATGACTTAAGCCAAGCCCGCGAAAGGCAGAACCGGGGTCTGGGCTGGAAAGGGTGTGAGGACGGCCTCTCTCTGCTGGTCCTGCTGCATTTGTAGGATGAAGGCTTGGAACGGAGCGTGGTGACCCTTTGTGCCATCACTTGGGGAAAAGCTGCTTGTGAACGAAACCAACACAAAGGGAATGGAGGCAGAGAAGAGGGGGAGGATGACAGTCCCTAAGGAATCAGCTGATCACCTGGAGCCAGCCGTGCCTGAAGCCAGCATTTCGGTAGCTCACCCAGCACCCAGGCCACCCACTCGCCATTCGAGAGTCTAACTCATTCGCAGCCCAGAGACGGGCTCATGAGCTCATGACACTCCCTGTCGTGGTGGTGGCTCAAGAGAGAAAGTGGCCTGAGTTGGGCTCATGGGAGGGAGGCTGGGGACTGTAGTGACTTTGGGGAAAGGGAAGCCCCCCATTCCCCATCCCGGTATGTGAAGGAGGAGCTTTCTCACCACTGCCCCCCGCCAGGGAAGCCTGGCCAGGAGTGGAGTCGGCATGTGGGGGGCTGCTGGGGTCCTGCCCCAGCAGGTCCAGGGGTCCCCAAAGGTGTGGACGGAGTCAGCGAAGAAGGAATGACACGGAGACAGCGTTCCGCCGATCAGCAGCCTAGCCAGGATCTCCAGCCAGGATCTCTAGCCAAGTTCTGGTCTGGATCTCCAGAGAGGTTCTGCTTAGGATCTCCAGCCAGGTTCTGAGTCCATGTTCTCTTGCAAGGTTCTCCAGGTTCTCCAGCCAGGTTCTGTAGCCATGTTCCCTCGCTAGGTTCTCCAGCCAGGTTCTGTCCAGGTTCTCCGGCCAGGTTCAGTCACCAGGTTCTAGTCAGGTTCTCTTGCCAAGTTCTGTAGTCAGGTTCAGTCCAGGATTTTTTGCCATGTTCTCTCGCTAGGTTCTGTCTCTAGGTTCTGAGGCCAGTTTCTGTCCAGGATCTTTTGCCATGTTCTCTCCAGCGAAGTTCTTCTGTCTCTAGAGAACGTTCTGTGTAGGTTCTGTGCCTCCTGGTTCTGTCTTCTCAGTTCTGTGTTCTAAGTTCTGTATTCTAAGTTCTGTGTCTTACTGTCTTGTTACATCTGTATTTATGCCAGTTGATTCAATCCTATCAATCTCTATTACAAAGGTTAGGGCGTTTCTTATCTCCATTCCAGGGAGTAAAGATTATGTAGCTTAAGCATGATTGTTCGTAGTTAAAGTGATGAATTACCCGCCTGGCACTTAGTTAAGAGGTTTTATTCCCTCCCTAACTTCAGGGGAAATACCCTACCTGGGGAAACAACCTTTCTCAGAGAGGTGACCTTGGTTAAAACACATAGTGCCAAGAAGGTGAGCAAACATATTAAGAACAGTATGCCATATATGCCAGGTCCCTTGAAACAGCAAGCATGGACCGGCTCCCGGCAAATTCCCCCTTTTTTATTTTTTAAAAGCGGGCATTAAAAAGAAAACCCCGAAATGCTCTCTTGTATCCATTTTAAGAGTAGGATTGGCGCTTTCCGCTATTACCTGAGTCCTGATCTATCACCCCAGGGAGAGCTTGCCAATCCTGCACTTTCCCAGGGTGGAAAGGCTGCAGTGGGGTTAAGGATAAGGCTCCTTGGGCCTACCTTCTCCCATGCCATTACATTTACCTTTCCTTCCTCAGAAAAGCATGGACATACTTCTTGTATAAAACGTTCTGTCTGACTGGGAGTAACCTTAATTCCTCTGCTAGCAAGGATATGTGTTAAAAGATCAATACAGAGTCTTTTTTCTTTAGACTCAGTATGGCACATCTTCTTAATCTAAAGATCAATACAGAGTCTTCTTTCTTTGGACTCAGTATGGCACATCTTCTCAATCTAAGTTCTGTACTATCCACCTTCTTACCCTACTTATCCTCTATAGGGGGTCTGCAGTACCCTGGTGGAGTCCTATCCGTCCCGAGTGTGGGGGTTCTCAATGGGGGGGGCTTACCTAGGGGAATCCTGTTCCAGGGCTTCCCAAACGTGTGGACGGAGTCGGCGGAGACTATCCACCCTCTCCTATGGTGGAGTCCTATCCATCCCGAGAGTCCTATCCGTCCCGAGTGTGGGGGTTCTCAATGGGGGGGGGGGCTTACCTAGGGGAATCCTGTTCCAGGGCTTCCCAAAGGTGTGGACGGAGTCGGCGGAGACTATCCACCCTCTTCCTACGGTGGAGTCCTATCCATCCCGAGACTGGGGCTTACCTAGGGGTCCCTGTTCGGGCGCCATTTGCCGGGGTCCAACCCCAGCGGGTCCAGGGGTCCCCAAAGGTGTGGACGGAGTCAGCGAAGAAGGAATGACACGGAGACAGCGTTCCGCCGATCAGCAGCCTAGCCAGGATCTCCAGCCAGGATCTCTAGCCAAGTTCTGGTCTGGATCTCCAGAGAGGTTCTGCTTAGGATCTCCAGCCAGGTTCTGAGTCCATGTTCTCTTGCAAGGTTCTCCAGGTTCTCCAGCCAGGTTCTGTAGCCATGTTCCCTCGCTAGGTTCTCCAGCCAGGTTCTATCCAGGTTCTCCAGCCAGGTTCAGTCACCAGGTTCTAGTCAGGTTCTCTTGCCAAGTTCTGTAGTCAGGTTCAGTCCAGGATTTTTTGCCATGTTCTCTCGCTAGGTTCTGTCTCTAGGTTCTGAGGCCAGTTTCTGTCCAGGATCTTTTGCCATGTTCTCTCCAGCGAAGTTCTTCTGTCTCTAGAGAACGTTCTGTGTAGATTCTGTGCCTCCTGGTTCTGTCTTCTCAGTTCTGTGTTCTAAGTTCTGTATTCTAAGTTCTGTGTCTTACTGTCTTATTACATCTGTATTTATACCAGTTGATTCAATCCTATCAATCTCTATTACAAAGGTTAGGGCGTTTCTTATCTCCATTCCAGGGAGTAAAGATTATGTAGCTTAAGCATGATTGTTCGTAGTTAAAGTGATGAATTACCCGCCTGGCACTAGTTAAGAGGTTTTATTCCCTCCCTAACTTCAGGGGAAAATCCCTACCTGGGGAAACAACCTTTCTCAGAGAGGTGACCTTGGTTAAAACACATAGTGCCAAGAAGGTGAGCAAACATATTAAGAACAGTATGCCATATATGCCAGGTCCCTTGAAACAGCAAGCATGGACCGGCTCCCGGCAGGGGGCAATGCTCAGTGGCCACAGAGGGGACACTCAGCCCCGTGACATCAGCGACGCTGGTCAAACGGGTCCTGAAGTCCACGCACAACTACACTCCCCATGTTCGGGAAACCGTGCTTCCCCATTGCTCAGACGAGTGTGGGTGGGGTTTCCCTTGTGACAAGCCATGCCCTGTCTGGTCCCCAAGGACTAATACAAACCCCTGTTTACTCAGCTAGGGAGGCTATCACTCACAAGCAAAGGGATCCTGGCTGGTTCTGCCTTTCGCACACCGTGCTCTGCGGTCCGGAGCCCCTCACTGGGGTCCTCGCACCATTGGGACCACCCAGCACCCCCCATGGCTCGCCCACCTCAGGTCTTGCCAGCTTCCACCTCCACCTCCACAGCCTCTAAGACAGGGGCTGGCCCTAACTGGTGCGGCTCAGTGGATAGAGCGTCGGCCTACAGACTCAAGGGTCCTGGGTTCGATTCCAGTCAAGGGCATGTACCTTGGTTGCGGGCACAACCCTAGTAGGGAGTGTGCAGGAGGCAGCTGCTCAATGTTTCTCTCTCATCGGTGTTTCTAACTCTCTATCTCTCTCCCTTCCTCTCTGTAAAAATCAATAAAATATATTTTTTAAAAAAAGGCAGGGGCTGGCGAACTTCCTCTGTAAAGGGCCAGACAGTAAATATTTCAGGCTTTGTGGGCCGTTCCACCTCTGTCCCTGCAGAGGGAAGGCAGCCGTAGACTACATATAAATGAAGCGCGTGGCTGTGTCCCAATAAAACTTTATTTATGGACACTATACATTTGAATTTCACATAATTTTCACATTTCACAAAATATTCTTCTTCTTTTGACTTATTTCCAAGAATTTAGAAGTGTAAAAACCATTCTTAGCTTGCGGCTGATTAAAATGATAGTGGGCCTGATCCGGTCCACGCGGCAGACTTTGTCTACCCTTTGGACTCCGGGCTCACCCCCCTTCCCTCTGCCCACCCCCCCCGCCCAAAACCTGGGCTGAGCTGCTGAAGTCCCAGCATGCCTCGGGCCTCTTGTGTCTGAAGGTCAAAGCCACTTACCAGAAGGACCACCCGTAGTCCCAGGAATGGGGCCTCCAGTCCTCAGGGCCGAGGCTCACGGTGACCTGGAACACCTGCGTGTACATCATGTGGGCGACCATTCCCAGGAGGCCTGTGGGGGAGCAGAGAGGGAGTCAGCAAGCAAGGCGGGGCTGTGTGCACCCCAGGGGTGTCGGTGCGTGGTTTTCTGCGGCTCACGGTCAAGTCTGTGAGCCCGCGGGCTGGGAGAGCTTCGGTTCGAGGGTCTGAGCGAGAGCCCCTCCCGCACATCTCCCCACGCAGACCTGGGCAGAGCACCTCCCTCCTCTGAGCCTCAGCGCTTTCTGCTCAGGGATGAGACTGTGACAGCCGAGCAGAGGGGGGTAAACCGAGGAGCCTCCGTGCCTGGTGCCCACTGGACACGCTCATAAACCCGGGCCGCGCCCCCGTGTGGATGCGGTGACGGGAGCCCTCGCGGTGCCACGGTGCACAGCCGACTGGCAAGGACCCCACTTGCAGAGGAAGCAACACGGTAGAGGAGGGAAGGGGTCGCTGGCAAGAGGAAGAAGGGAGCCAGGGATGCGTATGCGCTTACTGTGGCCAAGCCCCTGTCCGACCCTCACCTCCGTTTTTGCTTCTTTTGATCTTCATAACAACACTTGGAAGTGCCTGGCCCTGATCATGGAACTTCCTCCAGGGGCTCCGGCACCTGTGTCTCCGTCCAGCCGCCTGGCCCAGGCCTGATGGGCACAGAGGACTCAGAGGCGACACAGAGGCGGTGCCTGTGCTCTGGACGGGTGTCAGCCTCGCGTGGACACTTCCCCTGCTCTCTGACCCCAGGTGAGGGCTGCCCTCCAGGGCTGCTGGGGGCACTGAGGCAGGACATCCAGGGGGAGGTGACACACAGGTGCCGAGTCCCGTCAGGAGCCCCAGAGGCTCGGCACCCCCCAGGCTCTCTGTGCCAGGCCTGAGGACACCGAGACCCCATCCTAAGCTGCCTCCCCCACCCCCACCCCCCGCCTCAGCCTTGGCTCTGTGGGAAAGGAGGACCAGGGGGCCAGCCTGCTGATAGCTTTGTTTATTTCCTTGACACCGTTTTTTGGTGAACTTGCATGGGATGCCTTGATAATGAGGTGCCATATTTAATGTGTCCCATCAACGGATGGCATTGAAGTTGCCTCCAGGATTTTGCTCTATAAGCAATGCTGCCATGAGCTCCTCCTTGCGGGCCAGTGCTGGAGATGATGAAACGCTGACAATCTCGCCCATCGCACGGTGAAGCACGCAGCCCGACATTGCTCTACGTCTCACATTTCCCTCATTGCTAGTGAGCCTGGGCATCGTCACATGTTTGTTAACATTTCTGTTCTTCTTCTATGGATTTGCCTGTCTGTATCCTTTGTCAGCTTTCTTTTTAAAAATTCTTTTCATGATCACGTGGTAGGAATTGTTTGTAGGTCTTGGGCACAAATCCCGTCTGTTGCGTGGACTACACATAGCTTCCTGCTTGTCTTTTCCCACGTACAGAGGCCTCCTTTGGTAAAAATAGACTCTATTTTTAGAGCAGCTTTAGGTTTGCAGAGAAACTGAGCAGATAGTAGAGAGTTCCCATATGCCCCCTCTCTCCGCCCCACAATAAGTGGGGTTCATGTGTTACAATTCATGAACCAGTATTGAGGCATTTTTTTAAAATATATTTTTATATATTTCAGAGAGGAAGGGAGAGGAAGAGAGAGAGAGAAACATCAATGAGGAGAGGGAATCATTGATTGGCTGCCTCCTGCACATTGGACCGAGCCCGCAACCCAGGCATGTGCCCTTGACCGGAATCGAACCTGGGACCCGTCAGTCCGCAGGCCGATGCTCTATCCACTGAGCTGAACCAGCCAGGGCTTGCGGCATTGTTACTAAATCTATGGTGTACATTTGGCCACTGTTGGTGCTGCACATGCTGTGAGTTTTGACACTTGTATAGAGACAGGGACCCCAGTCGTGTGCCCAATAGGCTCCCGGCCCTAAAATCCCCGTCCCCCACCCTCTTCCCTCCCTTCCTCCTCCCAGCCTGGGCGGCCACTGATCTTCTCATTGTCCCCGTAGTGTTGCCTCTTCTGGAACGTGGGATTGTTGGGATCACAGAGTGGCTTCTCCCACTCAGCGATGTGCATTTCGGTGCCTCCGTGTCTCTCCGTGGCTCGCTGGCTCATCGCTGTTTGGTGCTGAATGACACTCCCCTGTCGGGATGCACCTCAGCTCATCCACCATCACCCACTGAAGGGCACCTTCGTTGCTTCCAGTTTGGGGTGATTGTGAATAAGGCTGCTTTGGTCAGACATCTTGACATTTGATGTAGTCAGACCCATCCGTCTTTCCCTTTTTGTTTTGTTTTTAAATATATTTTATTGATTTTTTACAGAGAGGAAGGGAGAGGGATAGAGAGCTAGAAACATCGACGAGAGAGAAACATCGATCAGCTGCCTCCTGCACACTCCCTTCTGGGGATGTGCCCGCAACCAAGGTACATGCCCTTGACCGGAATTGAACCTGGGACCCTGGAGTCCGCAGACTGACGCTCTATCCACTGAGCCAAACTGGTCAGGGCACGTCTTTCCTTTTTTGGGTTGCACTTCCTGTGTCTGACTTAAGAAAACCAACACCATACACAGAGTCTCCTATATTTTTCAAACGCACTTACAGCTGTTTGTTTAATTCCTCAGGGAATTTATCTTAGTGACTGTGAGGTAAGGATCTAGCTTAACTTTCTTAAATGAATCACTAATTGCTTTGAGCCCTTACAGAATCCACTACCTTTCTCCACTGATTTTATTTTATAAATATGTTTTATTGATTTCAGAGATGACACGAGGGAGAGAGGTAGAAACATCAATGATGAGAGAGAAACATCGATTGGCTGCCTCCTGCAGGCCCCACACTGAGGATGGAGCCCGCAACCCGGACATGTGCCCTGCCCAGGAATCAGACCGTGACCTCCAGGTTCACAGGTCAGCACTCAACCACTGAGCCCCGTCAGCCGGCTCTCCACTGATTTTAAACGGCAATTTCACACCATATTCCACTCCCACATCTGCACCAGCCTGGCTCCTCGCTCAGCATCCTGTTCCCGTGTCAGCACCGCACTGCTTTAATCATGTAACTTACGGTCCAGTCTGTCGCTGCCCAGGGCTCACTCCCTCTGCAGCTGCCCCTCCCTAGGGCTTTGCCCCTCGGCAGGACCCTGACCCCTTCCTTAGCCCCCACCAGTCCTTCCTGAGGCCTGGGCCTTGCTCTCCAAACCGCAGTTGTTGCAGCTTCTTCGGTTTCTTCCTCACGGTGCCCGGCCAGGTGCTCTTTGAGTTATTTGCTCTCTCAGTGCCTCTGTCTTCTCATCTATAGAATGGGGACAGGAGCTGACACTGGCCGTCCAATGAGCATCCGCTAAGGAACTGGAACAGTCACGGGAACACCCCCTCCTGATGTCAGGGCAGGGGGACAGCACAGCATTTTACTGCAAGATCTCTCAGCGGGACCCGGAGCTGGACCGGCCTGCTGGCAGACTAATTAATTTTCTGAATTGTTGGTATAGAAAAGCATTGATTTCTCAATTGAATCCATTTATTCCCAAATCTGAAAGGCCATGCTTTAAGAAAATCCAATCAATGAAATTGCAATTGGTGAGAGTCTCGAATTGCATTTTAAAGACTCGGCTTGGGAAGTCCGCCTCCTGCCCATGTGCTCTGGACGCTCACACACCGACAGCCACGTGTGCCACCGACCCTCAGCGGAAAGGCCCGTTTCAACTCCTCTGGGTTAAACAATGGCATGTTGATGAGCGACAGGACCTCCTCACTGAGGGGCCCTGAATGAGTGAGGCTCTCCTGCCGGGAGGCTTCCCGGGGAACCCCCACCAGGGGTCACGGTGTAAACCCCTCCTCCCTGAGCTTCGGGACTCTCCCCACTCCTGACACCAGAAATGGAGCTCCCAGCCTGTAGGTGGGGGGACCCTGGGGGGCACGGGGAGGGGGGATGTTGGCCAGGGCTCAGACCTGGGCTGCACCCGGTGCCACCCAGAACCCAGAGCCGGAAGAGCCGTGGCACTCCCGGCCCTGCCCGCACTGGCTACCCTGAGGAAGAGAGGCTGGCGTGGGGCCAGAGTAGGAGACTGTCAGGAGGGTCAGGGGTGAGATGAAGCCAAGGGCGAGAGAGGGTCTAGTTGCCATTCTGTCACCTACCAGCTGAGTGACCTCCCCTTTCTGTGCCTCAGTTTCCTCAGCCATAATATGGGGCTCCTAACAGCACCTACCTCGCAGATTGGTATGAGGCTTATACTTGAAAAGCACTTAGAACAGTGCTTGACATCATAAGCCCCACAGAAGCATTTCTTGAATGAATGAATGAATGAATGAATGAATGCATGCATGCACGCCCAAGGCTCACTGTGTGGACCTGCTAGACCGGCACCTGGCCAGGCCCTGGCTCACCGCGAGCGCTCACCTGTGTTTGTTGAATGAATAGGTGGCTGCTGGGTGCAGCAGGCCGGGGTTAAAGGTCTCGTCTGGAATATGGGGCTGAGTTAGGACGGGGCCAAATTCAAAAGCTTTAGAGAGCAAATGTCGGTCATCATTCCTGTATTTACTTGTCATTCCCATCCCAGATACTATTCCGGGGGTGGGGGCGGGGGCGACACTGGGAGAGACAGCGTGTCCTGCTGTCACGGCCTCCGGTGCTAGTGGAGAGGCCGACGGGGAGCCATGATCTCACAAGAACAGGCCAGGAAGTGGGAAGGGCTGTGGTCAAGAGAAGACAGGCCAAGCACCAGCCAGCTCCAGGGCCGCGGGGATGGGAGGCCAGGGAGGGCCTTCTGAGGCGGGGACGCTGAGCAGAGGCTGGGTGGGAGCTGGAGGCAGCCGTAGGAGTATGGGGAGGGGGCAGGACACAGCCTACTGTCTGGCGAAGGGAGAGAAGGGACCGCAGAGTGAGAAAGGGGAGGTGGACACGGCAGGGCCGGGCGCCCAGGACGCCCTGGACCACAGCGAGGAGTCTGGCTGCAACTGTAAGCGGATGGGGAACCAGGCGGGTATACGCACGGGGCCAACTTCAGATCCTGCTGGTTACTCTGTGAAGAGGGAGGATGGGGGC